AGCTCGTAAGGAAGAGGGCCGATTTTTTTGAAGAGAGAGAGAGAGAGAAGAGAGAGAGGAGAGGAGAGAAGGAGAGAGAGAGCTTCTCTGCTCTTCTTCTCTCTCTTCTCTCTCTCTCTTCTCTCTCTACATCATCTCTCTCGCTCTCTCATCTCGACTCTTCTTCTCTCTCTACAGCTCCGTCTACTCTCTCTGCTCTGAGCGAGAGATGATAGAAGAGATTTTGGGTTGTTACGAGTTACACCCGTCAGATTTTGTAATTGTAAGCCAATTCTCTCTCCTTCACTCTGAGATCATTACCATGCTTTCTAATCATCTCCATCTCTACTTCAGTGGAGCTGGTAGTCTATGTCTATGTTTCAAGTTAATAAAGAAAGTATGTCATGGATTAACGAGCACCAATCAGACGTCTGAACGGTCACATTCTGCAGCATCTGTGACGCTAATGAGGCCAGAGGGTGCTAACAAGAGAATACCAGTGACAACCTTGTTAGCAGGACATGAAACTCAGATAGATATGGTGCCAAAAATGAGGTCTCTTGCAAAAGTCTATTAGACGTCTAAACGACGCTGAGGAGAGAAAACTGTCACATGGTGTAGTAGTTAAGAAATCAAACCAGCGCCACTCTCCTCACATCTTAAGTGTTTAAAGTTTAAAATCTAAACATGTTTCTTGTGTTGCATCGTGTTCTTCTGAGTTCACTGCAGATGTTGAGTCCGTCTCGTCATCGCCATGCGGCAAATAAAACAAATGTTTTGTTGCAAGGCAAGTTTATTTATAAAGCACATTTCAACACAAGGCAATTCAAAGTGCTTTACATTAAGAGCATTAAGAAACATAAAATGGCGTTAAAAAACACTCATTTAAAAGCAAAGATAATAAAACATGAATAACAAAGTGAATGAAAGTGTGAGATACACACATCTGAAATTTTAGCTCTGCCTCTCAATCATTGCTCACTTTTAGCAGAAATAGTTTATGACCTCGCTTTCCTTCTACTTGCCACTTCACTAGCTCATTCCACCATCTTGGAGCCAGGATAGCAAACCCACGTGTTTTTGCTGATGGGAACTTGGGTCCCCCTCGCAGCGCGGGCGCAACGAGTCGTTTGGCTGATGCAGAGCGGAGTGCACGCGCTGGGGTGTACGGTTTAACCATGTCCTGGATGTAGGAAGGGCCAGATCCATTCGCAGCATGGTAAGCAAGTACCAGTGTCTTGAAGTGGATTCTAGCAGTTACCGGAAGCCAGCTAGTTATTTCAAGTGTTTCACGCTAAACGAACCCCCCTTTGGAAAATGCTAATCTGCAACCCAATAGAGTGTTGCAGGGATGACGTGTTTACCCGGAAGTAAGCTGCGCATGGGTTCCCTCGACAAAAACCCCAGATGGGATTTCTCCATAGGATTTTGGATGCCGCTCCTCCGCTCCCTTCACTGGCTTCCGGTAACTGCTAGAATCCACTTCAAGACACTGGTACTTGCGTACCATGCTGCGAATGGATCTGGCCCTTCCTACATCCAGGACATGGTTAAACCGTACACCCCAGCGCGTGCACTACGCTCTGCATCAGCCAAACGACTCGCTGCGCCCTCGCTGCGAGGGGGACCCAAGTTCCCATCGGCGAAAACACGTGGGTTTGCTATCCTGGCTCCAAGATGGTGGAATGAGCTCCGCATTGACATCAGGACAGCAGATAGCTTACACACCTTCCAGACTGAAAACTCATCTCTTTCGACTCCACTTCGAGCGATAGAACTATTAACAAAGCACTTATATACTAACAAAGGACTGGCTTATCTAAAGCCAGTTGAGTAGCACTTGAAATGTTTGGCTCTATGAAACCTGATGTACTTATATGATTCTGTTTTCTTCAAGTTTGTATCTTCCTGGTCGAACGCACTTATTGTAAGTCGCTTTGGATAAAAGCGTCAGCTAAATATAATGTAATGTCATTTTGGAAAATAGCTCGAAATAAGGTCTGTGCAAACAGAACCTGTTTGATAAATGCACGTTTTGTTCAGCCGGATAATATCCACATCTCTATCCTACTTTTATCATTTTCAAATCGTAAATCTAGTCGCCAGAAGCAAAATGCTAACGTTATGCTATAAACGAACTACAGCCGAGTAAACTTCAATGTCACGCCAACTCAAGATCCATATTCAAACACACAGATTCTAGATGGAACGAGTTGAAGCGTTTGTTTGAACAGTCTGCAGGAGGCAGAGACTTGCGTTCAAGCAGAACAGGGCAAACTAACTTAGAGGAGTGTTTACGTGTTCGGCGTAATGACGTACAACGACCTCAACAACTTCTGTAGTCCTATTCAGCCACTTGGTAACAACCATCGTTTTTCAGACACGTCAACTCTTCAGAAATCACCAGTGGGGTCACTGCTTTAATGTCGTAGAACAAAACGTGATCCGTCTCTTAAATGTGTGTCGACCACAGACCTTATTTCAGCTATTTCCCAAAATCCTATGGAGAGATCCCATTGGCTCTGAGACGAGGGAACAGGAAGTGGTGAAATGCTAACTCACTTTGGGGTTTTAGGACTTGTCACTGCACCGCTGTATATTCTGACGGATCCTGGCCTTATTTGTGCAGCATATCAAATGAATTTGCTCCCAGACATTCATGTGGTTTGCTAGTTTTGCCTCATCGCATCCAGGGTCTCTCCAGAGAATAGAGTGAACATGGAAACAGTTAAAAGGGTGAACTTGGGACTTATATAGGACCACTTTAGTGCTGATTTAGAAATCCTGTCATGACGGTTTGCAAAGGGAAGGAGAAGGGACGGAGGAAAGAGATTCAAAGGGAAAGCAGTAAAGAGAAAGATATACGGCAGTAGTATAAAAGGAATGGATTTCTGAACTAAGCGAAGGACATGTGGTAAATCTCGTCAGAGAATCATCATAGTGACTTATTCACTGGGCTAAAAACAACGAAAATAGCCATGAGTTTTGTTTCAGGGTTCAGAAGAATGTACTCTTTGATGTTATAGGCGAAAATATGGTATTGGTTGCAGAAATTAATCACTTTTTTGTACTGTAAAAATGGTCTTATGGGCTGTTTTTGTGATTCTCCATCGCTCTACATGTTTTAATCCCCCATTTGATCCGAATATTTCTTTATTTAAATGTACTGAAACTTAATTGCATAGATTACTGATAAACGTTCCAACTGATTAACTCAGTGCTTATTAATGATTATGACTTATCTGCCTAACGATGATAAAACTTATGAAATAGATCAGACTCAGAGAGATCGGATGATATGCAAACGATGTGCATGTATACATTACTACAAAGGCTGTTATCACAAAGTCAATTTCATATATTTCAATTAGTTTAAGGCTTTGAAATAACTCATATTTTCATGTCCTGGGAAAAGCTGCTGTAAGCGAAATTTGGAGTTATTGCATTTGTCTGAAACTCAAAACATGGCAATTGTTTCCAAAACGTTATCAACTTAGAAGAAATGTCTACATGAGAAGCTAAACCAAATGTTTCTCTTCTCAAATTGTATCATTCCAATCATTTCTGGGAAACGTTGAAGTGTGAAAACATCCAATAATGTCATAAAACAGCGATGGACAAAGACATTTGTTTAAAACTCTAACGACAACTTTTTGTTACTCTCACCTCACGTTGGGAAACTTTTAAATTGCATTAATGCGTTGTAAGGGAACAGTTGATACCCCATAAGTTCCAATTCAAATTGTAAGTTTTTGTTCAACTTCTCGGACAGTGAAATAGCTAATAGACACTGTCATAATCAGTGAGGACATGTACCGTGTTACAGCAGCAAAGGCACAGTGCAAACAAACGCCTAAGTAGGTTCAAATGTGGAGAAAGAAATGTATATTTTTCAAAAGTGAGTTTGAACCAGTAACGTTGGAACATTGTAAGTAAAATTATGCAAAAATGTGGAGCTAAAACAAATCTTTCTCTTCTCAAAATGGTTTGATTTCAATCATTTGGGGGATTTTTTTAAGTGTGTATATACAGTATAGCCAAACATGTGGTGGGCAGTGAAAAAGCTAATGTACCTACATATCTTAATCAGGATCAGAAATCCTTTATTCGTCCGCTCAGCCTTTTAGCATTGGGAAAAAGCGCTATACAAATCTTATGTATTATTATTATTACAGTAGCAGAGGTACAGTGCAAATTAAAAGCCTAAGTAAATACAAATGTGGAGAAAAATAGGTAGTAATATTTACATAAAGTGAGTTTGAGCTAGTAACGTTAGCAAATTGTAATTGCATAAATTGCACATAAATGTAGAATATATTGCACATGATCAGAGGTATTGCACAACTGTTGAAGTCTGTTTCGTGTTGGTGGTCTAACGGGGAATGTGGTTAAGGTTCGTTTATTTATAAAGCAGATTTCAGATACGACGGCAGTTCAAAGTGCTGTAAGTTATAGAGTCTTTGCAACACTGTGCACTTATAAAGCCTAAATGATTATGTTACATATTGCCATTTTAAGCAGATACATTTGACAACCAAATAATACAATCCAATACATCATAAATACATTCACAGTAGCAGTCTTTCAAAGCTATCTCTGTTTTCTTCTTTAGCTTGTTAGCCGTCATTCGTGAAGTCTTGACCTCAGTGACGTTGCCACCATTGCTAGAAGATTGTACTTTATCAACATGCAGCCGCCCTCTCCTCTCCACACAGCATCATTTTCCTGAATCCCTGAAAGCAAGAATGATTTTGAAGCAGAAATAGATGTAACTAGACTCTGACAATCAGCTGAATCAAGGCAGAAAGGCCTCGAGGGTCTCAGCATGTGAGAAAGAAATGTGTGAATATACCGTGCTTAAGAAAAAGGAAAGGTTTTATCTGAGTGGGAACACTTTGTTTTGCAGGAAATTACACCATCTCCGACATCATCGTTTCAGTAGTAATGTATCTGAAGGATTCCTCATGACACGTAGACGGTGATAAAACCTTATTGTTGTTGTTGTTGTTTGTTTCCCGCAGTATTTCAAACGCTCCTCCCAGTCTCGCCAGGGAACCGTTTCTGAGTCCAGCTTTGCACACGGCACCAATATCTCCAGCTCCAGAGGCAAGGCCAAACATCCCAGGTAAGACGTTAAATCACAGCAGAGAGCGCAAAGTACACACATCCTTTACTCAAGTAGAAGTACAGATACTCGTGTTTAAAAATACTCTGGTAAAAGTAGAAGTACTGACTAAACTTCTTTCCTCAAGTCAAAGTAAAGAGGCTTTGAAATGTACTTCAGTAGAAAGTACCCATATCTAGCAGCTGTTTTAAAGAGTACCTGACCTCCCTTTATATTAATAGAACAATAATGTCATTGTTAGCTAATGAATGTTTCCATGCTGAACAACGGCAACATGACAACGTTTCCATTGGTCCCTCTTCTTTAGAGGAGACCAGGAAATGATGGATACACGGATCGTGTTCAAATCAATAGGCACGCAATGACTCTAAAGAATAATGATCACGCATCAAACACACATTCAGACTAAAGGAACCAGCTGTTTGGAAAATGTAAGAAGTAGAAAGTACAAGTATTTGTGTTCAACATGTAAGAAGTAGAAAGTACAGGTATTTGAGTTCAACATGTAAGAAGTAGAAAGTACAGGTATTTGAGTTCAACATGTAAGAAGTAGAAAGTACAGGTATTTGAGTTCAACATGTAAGAAGTAGAAAGTACAGGTATTTGGGTTCAACATGTAAGAAGTAGAAAGTACAGGTATTTGAGTTCAACATGTAAGAAGTAGAAAGTACAGGTATTTGAGTTCAACATGTAAGAAGTAGAAAGTACAAGTATTTGTGTTCAACATGTAAGAAGTAGAAAGTACAGGTATTTGAGTTCAACATGTAAGAAGTAGAAAGTACAGGTATTTGAGTTCAACATGTAAGAAGTAGAAAGTACAGGTATTTGAGTTCAACATGTAAGAAGTAGAAAGTTCAGGTATTTGAGTTCACATGTAAGAAGTAGAAAGTACAGGTATTTGTGTTCAACATGTAAGAAGTAGAAAGTACAGGTATTTGTGTTCAACATGTAAGAAGTAGAAAGTACAGGTATTTGAGTTCAACATGTAAGAAGTAGAAAGTACAGGTATTTGAGTTCAACATGTAAGAAGTAGAAAGTACAGGTATTTGGGTTCAACATGTAAGAAGTAGAAAGTACAGGTATTTGAGTTCAACATGTAAGAAGTAGAAAGTACAGGTATTTGAGTTCAACATGTAAGAAGTAGAAAGTACAGGTATTTGAGTCAACATGTAAGAAGTAGAAAGTACAGGTATTTGAGTTCAACATGTAAGAAGTAGAAAGTACAGGTATTTGAGTTCAACATGTAAGAAGTAGAAAGTACAGGTATTTGGGTTCAACATGTAAGAAGTAGAAAGTACAGGTATTTGAGTTCAACATGTAAGAAGTAGAAAGTACAGGTATTTGTGTTCAACATGTAAGAAGTAGAAAGTACAGGTATTTGAGTTCAACATGTAAGAAGTAGAAAGTACAGGTATTTGAGTTCAACATGTAAGAAGTAGAAAGTACAGGTATTTGAGTTCAACATGTAAGAAGTAGAAAGTACAGGTATTTGAGTTCAACATGTAAGAAGTAGAAAGTACAGGTATTTGAGTTCAACATGTAAGAAGTAGAAAGTACAGGTATTTGTGTTCAACATGTAAGAAGTCAAAGTAAAAAGTTGTCAGAAAATTAAGTAGTGGAGTAAAGTACTGATACCAGAAAAATATACTTAAGAACAGTAAAGAAGTATTTGTACTTCCCACCTCTGTATGCAGGTGTAATATCACACCGGAGATAAAGACACCCCCTCCGTTCACTGCAGGAAAACAACAATAATACAAATCAAACAAACAAAAGGCAACTTCAGTGTCCTCTCCTGTAATGAGCAGGACGCAGTGAAGAGAGAAATTGAATTATCCACATTACAGAGCAGCCAGAGCTAATTGCTGATTTCCGGAAGAATGATAGTAATTATAATTAAAGCTCTAAACATGTTAATAAGCATATCTATAGCAGTGAGGAGGAGATGAGGCGGAGATAATATGGGAAGCACATGTGCGAGGATTTTCATTTACGAGCCAGCGCTGGGATGTGAAGCCTCGGCAGATTTTTTAATTCTCACACTGCTCAGTGGTGTGTGAGAGCGCTGGCATGTTCATCAGGAGCAACACGAACACACACACACACACACACACACACACACACACACACACACACACACACACACACACACACACACACACTCTCTCTCCAACACACACTCTCCAACACACACACTACTTCTGACAGAGTTGGAATTTACATCTCTGCCAAGGATGGATTTTGTGTTACAATACAAGCATTTTCGACAATCTGAGGCAAAGAGGAGAGAGCTCCTGTACTTCTTTAATATTCATTTTCATGGTTTTATACTCTGCCCCAGGTTTTAGTGCTTTACTGTGTGAGAAATACCGAAAAGACAGCATTTATCATGAAGAAAAACCTTTATTAAACCTTTGACAATGTCGGGGAGAAATCAAAAAAGTAGTCAATGTTGCGTTAGCTACTTTGAGAGCATAAACACTTAATGCTAAAGCTACCTAGAAAAAGTATTTATACTATTATGCTTGGTTATAAAAACATTCAAATTGACAATGCACATGTGAAACAAAACTATGAAAAAAATCATGCATTTAAAAAAAATGCCTCTGTATTTAAAGTGCTTATCTGTTTAAAGGACATACTTCCAGCAAAGTAATAAAATACCACAAGTTAAATATTTAACTTTCACTCACTTTCATTTTCCAGAAAGTCAGGTAAACGTGCTATTTTTACACCGAATAAACGCTATAAAAACTGGTCTGACTGACTTGTTCATTATAAGAAAGAATGTCAGGGTCAAAGTGGGTTGAATTAAAGTAGACAAAATCAACTCTTCCACATACACTAGACAAAAATCAAGTAAAAGAACAAAGAAGGTGTTTTCGCTTACGGGGGAGGCGTGTGGCGCAGTGGATAGAGCCTTGGTGTTGGGATCAGGGGGTCACAGGTTCAAACCCCACTGCTGTCAGCATGTCGTTGTGTCCCTGAGACACTTCACCCCAAATTGCTCCTGTGGGGATTGCCCACAGTACTGAGTATGTAAGTCGCTTTGGATAAAAGCGTCTAACAAGTGACATGTAATAATGTAATGTAATAATAAGTCAAACGATCTGCCAATAGAACAAGTGAACATTTGCTTGGTAAGATTTCTTGAAATAAGACGGGATATTTAGATAAAGGAGATCTTGTGATTAGCTGGGAGAACTTATTCTGAACTATATCTGACCAGGAACAGTAAATGTTGTTACAAAATAAGCCTGAGATGCTCACAGGTTTTCAGTGTTCTGATGTTGTTTGGTGATTTTCACTTTTCAGGTACGCATATTCACCATCAACTAGTTGTTCATTAACATAGAGACCAACTACTAGCTTATTTGTTATGAACAAGACTTCACTTTAAAATAGGGAACATATTCTGAGTTATTTTGACACAATTAACACTTTAGTTTCATGTCTTGTTACATAAGAATCATATTGGTGTTATTATGGGAGAATTACTATTCTTGTGGCACTAATGCCTTATTAGTGTCACAATCTGCCTGTGTTGTGTTTTGTCATGTCTAGATCTGTGTTTACCCCCCGTCTTGTCTGTTGCTTCCTGTCTCTGTGTTCCCTCCTGCCTGATTACCTGATTGTGTTCACCTGGTGCCCCTGTGTTTTCTCCTCCCTCCTCTCCTTTGTCTTGTTTGTGTGATTAGTCTTGTGTGCATTTAAGTTCTGGTTTTTCTGTCTGTCGTTGTGAGATCCTTGTTGTTTTTTTAATGTGTTCACAGGGGAGAGAGTTCTGCTCTGTATGTCTAGTTGTATCCTTGAAATAAAGGTATTTTTTCAGTTAAACCTGCATTTGGGTCCTGCCTGCTTCGCTCAACCCTGACAATTAGGCCCATATTGAGCATATTAAGACTCATGTACAACACCGTCCTTACTTGCAATAAATAAGCACTAATTAGAGGGTTATTGAGGAAAAACTAATTAACTAATGGTTTAGTACTTGTAGAATATGGTCATGTAGAATAAGGCATTAATAAGTGTTTTATAATGACTAATAAAGAGCCAATATACCGGTACTGCTAATATGCATGTTAATTAACAACTAGTTGATGGTTAATTTGTGTACCTTAATATAAAGTGTTACCAAAAGCTTGTTTCATTTGAGATATGAAATAAGATGTTTTTGAAGATGCATTGTATAAAAACAAGACCCTCTATCTCACTGCATTGTAACCTCTTCAGTTATTGGGTCTTATATCGAGTGTAAAGACGTATTCTGATAATTAGACGAATATACTTGCAAGATTTTTTGTTTTACAGTGCGAGAACAATTAAGAGCTTTTTCAACATTAGAGCATGTAAACATGTCACAAAATACAAATATGAACCTAAAAGTAAGCATTATATGTCCTCTTTAAATTACTACTTAAATTAGTTCACTTCTCTCTTTTTTTGACTTCACACTCCTTCAGTGCGATCCAGTTAGAGACTCCCACACCTCAGTACACTCGTAGTTTTCTTCCTCTCCTGCTTAACAACCTTTCTGCACAAGCTGAGGGTTAATCAGGTTTTTTCAGAAGGATCCAGGCGGTATTTGAGCAGAGATATTCTCAGAGAAAGTAGAAACACTATGAGACGACCTTCAAAACCACAAAATCCTCTCCTCTAACCTTTTGGGCTAAAGTCGTGCCAGACGTTTTCCCCTCCTTCTTTCCTTTTCTCTCTCTCAGTGAGTCGATCACAGGATTACTTGGCTGGCAGTGCTCTAACCACAAATGTTTTTCTTTGTGGGTTTATTTGTTTGCAATCACATCAGCTTATGGGAAGAGACTTGGACACTATTGTCGGGCAGTTCTGGGACACCACAGTTCAACAGAAAAGGCAAAAATAAACTTACCAAGGCTAATTCTGTGTCTCGGAAATATCTCGTTTGAATGTGTTTATAGAAAACTCTGCCAACACTATTACAGTAAGCACGGCTCAGTTGTTGTGGAGAAGAATCAACATTTTAAAGGCAAATCTCTCCTCTAAAGCAGCGGCGTTAAATATGAATGAGTGCCTGGAGAGGACATTTGCTACTTTGGTAAAGCAAGTCGAAATGTACTTATGTATTTGCTGGCTTCAAAATCTCTTTTGACAGATTGGAGGGAAGCAAAGAGGACATGCATATACTGTGACCTCATGCTTTCAGAGTGTTGTAATGCAACAGACTTTTATAAGAGAGACAAATCACACTTTTCCTTGAAAGATGTGTAACTAACCAGATGTTGTTTTCTAGACCTTTTTCTACTGCAGGATATATTCCAGTAACCTTTGGGAAAATTCAGAAACTATGATCCTAGGAGGAACTTATGTCCTATTATCATTATTGATTTCAGAGCAGGGAAGTAACTAAGTACATTTACTCAAGTATTGTAACATTTTGAGGTACTTTACTTGAGTAGGCTACTTCAATTTGATGCTACAGTACTCTGTACTTCTACTCCACTAGATTTCAGAGGTACATGGTGTACTTCTACTCCACTACATGTATTTAATCCCTTCAGTTTCTTCACAGATGTGGAGGAATGATGTGAAATCTAATCAAGTGTTGAATCAGACTTTAGTTCCACCTGGAGTAAATCCACCAGCTACCCTGCAGTATACAAAGCCATTCAAACTAGCTGCACCTTTACCAGCTTTGAGAACACTTTTATGATCAATCATTATAAAACATATCATATATATTATTCTGAAATGGACCAATCTGCACAACGACTACTTTTACTGTCGCTACTTTCACTATATTTAGATGAGAATACTTTTCTACTTTCACTTGAGGAACATTTTGAATGCTTTTACTGTAACAGAGTATTCCTACACTCTGGTACTTCTACTTTTACTCAAGTACAAGATCTGAGTACTTCTACTTTTACTCAAGGACAAGATCTGAGTACTTCTACTTTTACTCAAGTACAAGATCTGAGTACTTCTACTTTAACTCAAGTACAAGATCTGAGTACTTCTACTTTTACTCAAGTACAAGATCTGAGTACTTCTACTTTTACTCAAGGACAAGATCTGAGTACTTCTACTTTTACTCAAGTACAAGATCTGAGTACTTCTACTTTAACTCAAGTACAAGATCTGAGTACTTCTACTTTTACTCAAGTACAAGATCTGAGTACTTCTACAAGATCTGAGTACTTCTACTTTAACTCAAGTACAAGATCTGAGTACTTCTACTTTTACTCAAGTACAAGATCTGAGTACTTCTACTTTTACTCAAGAACAAGATCTGAGTACTTCTACTTTTACTCAAGTACAAGATCTGAGTACTTCTACTTTTACTCAAGTACAAGATCTGAGTACTTCTACTTTAACTCAAGCACAAGATCTGAGTACTTCTACTTTTACTCAAGTACAAGATCTGAGTACTTCTACTTTTACTCAAGTACAAGATCTGAGTACTTCTACTTCAACTCAAGCACAAGATCTGAGTACTTCTACTTTTACTCAAGTACAAGATCTGAGTACTTCTACTTTTACTCAAGTACAAGATCTGAGTACTTCTACTTTAACTCAAGCACAAGATCTGAGTACTTCTACTTTTACTCAAGTACAAGATCTGAGTACTTCTACTTTTACTCAAGTATAAGATCTGAGTACTTCTACTTTAACTCGAGCACAAGATCTGAGTACTTCTACTTTTACTCAAGTACAAGATCTGAGTACTTCTACTTTTACTCAAGTACAAGATCTGAGTACTTCTACTTTTACTCAAGTACAAGATCTGAGTACTTCTACTTTTACTCAAGTACAAGATCTGAGTACTTCTACTTTTACTCAAGAACAAGATCTGAGTACTTCTACTTTTACTCAAGTACAAGATCTGAGTACTTCTACTTTTACTCAAGTACAAGATCTGAGTACTTCTACTTTAACTCAAGTACAAGATCTGAGTACTTCTACTTTTACTCAAGTACAAGATCTGAGTACTTCTACTTTTACTCAAGTACAAGATCTGAGTACTTATACTTTAACTCAAGCACAAGATCTGAGTACTTCTACTTTTACTCAAGCACAAGATCTGAGTACTTTTGAAAAGGTGCCAATATACAAAACACCTGGCAGCTTTGCAGATGAGTTTCATAAATGTAGTTCAATCCAGATTTGTAACTGTGGTTTTTTGATACAAACTAGTTTGATTATTTTTCACTGATTACAAAACGTCTTTAATCCAAAACAGAAAGCTTACCTCAACCCGATTTGCACAGATTAATTCTAAAAAATATCAATCTAAAAATGGAGGACTGTCAGACCCCAATGAAAAAAGATAAATAGAACTAATCCAAATTGCAGTTTTATCCCAACAGAACACCAACAGTGGCAACTCCATGATGCAAAACCAATTAACAAACAGAAAGATTAGCAACAATCAATCTATACGATCTGCCTGAAGCTACATGTGACCTGAGCTACTAATGAACCCACTCAAATCCAATCAATTATTACACAAATCTCCATATGGACAGCCACATATTCCAAAAGTTAAACACCTAACAAGATATTCTATCAGATAATCAGAATCAGGTTTGTTACCAAGTAGGTTGACACGAACGAGGAATTTGACTTGGTGTCGTGGTGCGTACATAACACAGATAGCGACCTATTTTAAGAACACTATAATAACATTACAAAAAATAAGAAAACAGATAGCAAAATAGAAAATAAAGCAGTCATTTACATTGAAATAGAATGCAATAAAATAGAAAATATGTGCAGTAAGCAAACCAGATATTGTCTGGTAATAGTAAGATAAACCATAATTAGTATGTTTTGGCTTCTTCTCTGTATTCCTAGAAGTGGTTCCCTCTCTCACAGCCCGGATCAGAGAAGCCGGGCCTCCCATTGGTCGGCTCCTCGCAGGACCCCGCCCATCCCGAGGGGAAGGCTGAATCCGATTGGAGGATCCAAGTATTCAGGCCCCGCCTACCAACACCTCCAGGAAGTGGACTCTTCTGAGAGGGAGGCTGAGGCTCAGAGAGGGTGAGGGAATGTACTGAAGGATAGATTACAATGTGTTTAATTGTGCCAGTTTTTACTGTTTTATAATAGTTTATTTTATTTGCATTTAAGTACCACATCCTTTACTCAAGTAGAAGTACAGATAGGCCTACTCGTGTTTAAAAATACTCTGGTAAAAGTAGAAGTACTGACTAAACTTCTTTCCTCAAGTCAAAGTAAAGAGGCTTCAAAGTGTACTTCAGTAAAAAGTACTCATAACTAGCAGCTGCTTTAAAGAGTACCTGACCTCCCTTTATATTAATAGAACAATAATGTCATTGTTAGCTAATGAATGTTTCCATGCTGAACAACGGCAACATGACAACGTTTCCATTGGTCCCTCTTCTTTAGAGAAGACCAGGAAATGATGGATACACGGATCGTGTTCAAATCAATAGGCACGCAATGACTCTAAAGAATAATGATCACGCACCAAACACACATTCAGACTAAAGGAACCAGCTGTTTGGGAAATGAGAGAAGTAGAAAGTACAGGTATTTGAGTTCAACATGTAAGAAGTAGAAAGTACAGGTATTTGAGTTCAACATGTAAGAAGTAGAAAGTACAGGTATTTGAGTTCAACATGTAAGAAGTAGAAAGTACAGGTATTTGGGTTCAACATGTAAGAAGTAGAAAGTACAGGTATTTGTGTTCAACATGTAAGAAGTAGAAAGTACATGTATTTGGGTTCAACATGTAAGAAGTAGAAAGTACAGGTATTTGGGTTCAACATGTAAGAAGTAGAAAGTACAGGTATTTGTGTTCAACATGTAAGAAGTAGAAAGTACAGGTATTTGGGTTCAACATGTAAGAAGTAGAAAGTACAGGTATTTGTGTTCAACATGTAAGAAGTAGAAAGTACATGTATTTGGGTTCAACATGTAAGAAGTAGAAAGTACAGGTATTTGGGTTCAACATGTAAGAAGTAGAAAGTACAGGTATTTGTGTTCAACATGTAAGAAGTAGAAAGTACAGGTATTTGGGTTCAACATGTAAGAAGTAGAAAGTACAGGTATTTGTGTTCAACATGTAAGAAGTAGAAAGTACAGGTATTTGTGTTCAACATGTAAGAAGTAGAAAGTACAAGTATTTGAGTTCAACATGTGAGAAGTAGAAAGTACAGGTATTTGGGTTCAACATGTAAGAAGTAGAAAGTACAAGTATTTGAGTTCAACATGTGAGAAGTAGAAAGTACAAGTATTTGAGTTCAACATGTGAGAAGTAGAAAGTACAGGTATTTGTGTTCAACATGTAAGAAGTAGAAAGTACAAGTATTTGAGTTCAACATGTGAGAAGTAGAAAGTACAAGTATTTGGGTTCAACATGTAAGAAGTAGAAAGTACAGGTATTTGTGTTCAACATGTAAGAAGTAGAAAGTACAGGTATTTGAGTTCAACATGTAAGAAGTAGAAAGTACAGGTATTTGTGTTCAACATGTAAGAAGTAGAAAGTACAGGTATTTGAGTTCAACATGTGAGAAGTAGAAAGTACAGGTATTTGAGTTCAACATGTAAGAAGTAGAAAGTACAAGTATTTGAGTTCAACATGTGAGAAGTAGAAAGTACAGGTATTTGGGTTCAACATGTAAGAAGTAGAAAGTACAGGTATTTGTGTTCAACATGTGAGAAGTAGAAAGTACAGGTATTTGAGTTCAACATGTGAGAAGTAGAAAGTACAGGTATTTGGGTTCAACATGTAAGAAGTAGAAAGTACAGGTATTTGAGTTCAACATGTGAGAAGTAGAAAGTACAGGTATTTGAGTTCAACATGTGAGAAGTAGAAAGTACAGGTATTTGGGTTCAACATGTAAGAAGTAGAAAGTACAGGTATTTGAGTTCAACATGTGAGAAGTAGAAAGTACAAGTATTTGAGTTCAACATGTGAGAAGTAGAAAGTACAGGTATTTGTGTTCAACATGTAAGAAGTAGAAAGTACAGGTATTTGTGTTCAACATGTAAGAAGTCAAAGTAAAAGTCGTCAGAAAAATAAGTAGTGGAGTAAAGTACTGATACCAGAAAAATGTACTTAAGAACAGTAACGAAGTATTTGTACTCCACTACTTCATACTTCTATGGACTGGTTAATGTTGAAACTTTGTTCAAGCTGCCCACTTGGCCAGGTCGCTGTTAAAAAAGATATTTGAATCCCAATGAGACTTTTACCTGGTTAAAGGAGATATATATTCAACTTGAAATGATTGACACAGCTTCATCATAAAAATAGAAATCTAGTTTTGACGAATAGTCCGCTGAAGCTTACTGTGTTTGCCGGCTCTTCCAATGCAGACAGACCAAGACTGGTTTAGATGGAATTACAGCTTAAGAATCTTAAGAGTATTTTAAAGGTTATATCCCGTCTTTCTTCCCTTTGCTGTATATCCTCCATGTGCTGAGTCATTTCAATGAAAGCCACTAACTGAAAAATGCAGTGGACATAGCTTTGGATTTCATTTCAGGAGTGGATATTTCAAAGGCAATTCTGTGATTGTCTTTTAACAACAAAAAAATATATATATAGTGCTTTCTTTCTCTCTTTTTTCCAACCTTCTTTAATCCCCAAACCCCCATCCCTTAGTTTCCAATCTGCTGAGCGAAGATAAAAACAAGGTCACGTTATGTAGTGCTCTGCAGCGCAGTGGCACGAGTTCAAAGGAACTGCTTCTCGTGCTTTTTAAGGACACGATGCACATCCAGATTCCTCTCTCTGTCGTTTCCCTGTCAGACATCGTGTCAAGCCTGAGCTAAATCATGACTCTCGGCTTTTCAATGCCATCTAAAAGTCCCCGTTTAAATGTTGGCATCTAAATATTATCAGGATAAATAACTTGCATTTCCCTTGGCTGCAATGATAATGCAAAATGATCAGTGTGAGCGATTAGCAAGAAATGTATTTGGTGTGAAAGGTGTCTTCATTGTTGGTGTGTTGTGAGTCCTTTTTTTTACCCACCTGGACTAGAAAGCCTCTCTTCAGGCGCTCAGGTCCCGGCGGTCCTGGCTGAGGATAAAGCTCCACATGACCTACATGCATACTAATAGAAAGAGGACGAGCAGGAAGCTATGGCTGGGCAAAAAAAGAAAGAAACTCCCACATACTATAGAGTCAGAATGCTAGACGTGTTTATAGGCATTTAGTGAATTCAGTGGTTTGCACACGGAGGCAGAATCCGATTCTCTTTTAGCCTCAATCTTATTGAGTTTCCTCTGGTTACACTAGATATTCAGGACATTAATACATAAACAACGTTTTGTTATGTAAAGATATAGTAGCGGCTGAGGAGTAACCACCCTCCGTTTTCTTCAAACACTGTTAGCCATTTCTTTGCACTTTTAGCACCGTTAGCTGGTTAGCTTCACAATGTTGACAGCCATCTAAAGTCAGTCCCTCTTTTCTGTGTTTAGACATGTAGAATCACGCTCCTTTGTCTAACCTAAATGTCACTCCTGAGGGCCACTTGAGCTTGTTAAGTGTGCATCTCCTCAACGAAAGAGCTCTTCTCAAGCTTCCCAAGTGTCCTCTGGTCGCCCAAGTGTCCATATGATAAGTCCAAAATGTCTGTTGTTTAGTCTGAGTGCTCACAGGTCAGGTGTCCTCCAGACTGGCCTGCTGTCTTTGGTTTAACCCGACTGCTTTCTGGTCAGTCCAAGCGCTTTCTGGTCAACAAAAATATCTTCTGGTCAGGTTCAGGATCCTTTGGTTGGACCAGGTATGTTTTACTAGGACTTGTCCTTACTTTTGGTCAAATAGTGTTGTTCTCTGGTCATCAAAGTTACTCTCTGGTCAACCAACATGTCTTCTGATGGAAGAGTCCTCAGCTGCCAAATGCTGCTATACAGTGTATTCTCATTTCATAGCACATCATAAAAATTCCCCTTTTTATAAAATAAAGCATTCATGAACAGCTGCTGCACATTTTAGCTGATGACAAACACATGGAGAGGTTTTGCTAAAGGGCAAGAGGTCATGCCCATTTTAAAAAGTCCCTTGCACACCTACTCACTAGTCAGTCACTAATGCACGATTTCAGGATCCTTTGGTTGGACCAGATATGTTTTACTTGGCCATAACTGGTCCATATGTCCTCTGGTCAAATAGCGTTGTTCTCCGGTCAATGGAAGTTACTCTCTGGGGAGCCAACATGTCACTGGAGTGTCCTTTGCTGCCCAAATGCTGCCATACACTGTGTTTGCATGTCATAGCACAGAATAAAAATTGATAAAAGGAATTCATGAACAGCTGCTGCACATTTTAGCTCATGACGAACACATGGAGAGTTTTGCTAAATGGCAAGAGGTCATGCTCCTTTTAAAAAGTCCCTTGCACACCTACCCACTCGTTCCCTAATGCACGATTTCACATAACGGCAGATAAACAGGCGGACTCCCTCTCACAAAGCATGGTAGACTGAGTTGCCATGGTGATACTTGGCCATGACTGCATAGAAAGTGAGGGAGAGCTGCAGAGAGACGGAGAGAAATGGAGAAAACGGAGAGAGAGAAGCAGTTTGAATCCATTCTGACACAGAAGGAAAGTGTTAGTAAGTATAGTAAGAGAAGAAAGAAACGGCGGCAGTGAAAGGAAGTGATAGAGCAGTGTGCAGATAGCACATGACAGTTAGAAAACGGCTTTAAAAGAAAGGTCGCCCGCTCTATTCGCTGCCTGTTAGAGAAGCCTTGAGTTATCTCAACAAAATGGCTGACAGGGAGACAGAATGTCCTGTGTTGTTACTTCTATTTTAAGATAAAGCTGTCTCCAAAATGGCTGATGGAGGCACTGCACGCATTTCTGTATTTTTCCTCCACTGTTTGCAGTATTTCTACAGAAACATACATTTTCTCCCTGGCTCGTTTTGCGATACCGTGCAGCCTTCAGTAAGACGGTGAAACAATTGAAACGTTGGCTTTAATTGAATGTGTCAACAAATCTCACATAACTGTGTTATTAGTTGAGTCAATAATATTAAAGTGGACCTATCATGCTATAT